CTTCCTTCCTTCCTTCCTTCCTTCCTTCCTTCCTTCCTTCCTTCTTTCTTTCTTTCTTTCTTTCTTTCTTTCTTTCTGCCTTTTACGAATGTTCTTATAGGACGATATTCTGCTTGCGCAAATAGCGCTCGAAATCAACCGTGTTTTATACGTGTACAAAATGTTCTTATTGTATACTTTACGCTTCCATTTGTAATAAAAAATGGTATCTTTTTTAAAAAAAAAAATCAAAAACCGATTATATCTTATGACTTGCGATACGTCGTTGTTCCGATACATGGAATCGTTTCATATGTATCATATTTATTCATATCGTGTTTACCCTTTACCTATACGATGGAGGACACTCGACCTCTCGACTCTCTTTTACGTTTACTGTTCCTTTATTTTCACTTGCAAATTACATACATATTCATATGAATCCTGACTCCAATATTTATCCTTTTATCAGGTTTGTTCACAAAATTCGATGTAACTTTTCCACGCAAATTTTCGATCATTCAACCGAATAAAATTCGCTAACTTCCACTTCCATTTACATATGTATTTATACATATTACATATGTGTTTGCTCTTCTCTCGGTTTCCTGCCCCGCTGGAATCGTTCTACATTCCAAGGACATTTTACCAAACTTGCAAACAACGTAGCATTTGATATTTTTGCGTTTTGCGTTCATCCTACATACATCTTGTGACCTGACTCGCGAATTCGCATCATTCTACACTTTACACTTTACTCTATGTTTATTATACATTTGCCTATACTAGCACGCGCACGCGCGAGTCAGAGAGAGAGAGAGAGAGAGAGAGAGAGAGAGAGAGAGAGAGAGAGAGGGGGGGGGGCAGCTAACGGAGAACAAACGATCGAAAACGATCGCACCTGCATCATTTGTGCAAACATGTTGCGCTGCACAAAGCGTATTGGTGACCGGTATGTCAGTGATATATTTTTATTTATTTCCAATTCTTTCATTCTTTCTTCCTTGCTTCCTTCCTTCCTTCCTTCCTTCCTTCCTTTCTCCCTCCTTCCGTAGAAAATTTGGCAATTGAAAAGCGAAAGGACGAAAAAATGCATACATGTGTAGGAAGTACAGGATTTTTGGGTAAACTGTTGATCGAAAAGTTGCTTTGAACATATACAGACGTTAAATGCGTGTACGCGTTAATACGGACAAAAAAAGACGAATACGCGTATCAATGGCAGGAAAAGAAGGAAAAAGGAACAAAAGAGTTGATGGAACTCTGTACACGTATGCCAAACTTACGGGTAATGAACGGATTGCTCTGCTGGCGATTTTTTGTTCATCACGTTCACGTTTACGTTCATGTTCACATTCATATACACATTGATGTTGTCACTTCGAGATTCTTTTCCTGTTTTTCCTTTCTAGGTTGTAATACACGTCTCAACCGCGTACAGTAATTGCCATTGCGATATAATCGATGAACCACTTTACCCACCACCCATATCTGTTTAATGAATCGTGATATTACGTAATGCATAGCAAATGGGAAACAAAAAGAAGAACTGGAATTTGTGAAAAAATTCTCCGATCAAGAATTGAATAACCTAGCGAAAACATTGCTCGGACCTTTTCCAAACACTTACGTTTACATGAAATGCATCGCCGAACAATTAGTGCAACGATGCTCGTACAAACAATTACCAATTGGAGTATTTCGACCTGCTATAGGTAATTATTATGTCGCCTATGTATCTCGTACATCCATAAATTTCTCGAAATACGTATAGTGATCTCGACGTACAAGAAACCAATAGAGGGTTGAGTGAATAATGTATATGGACCTACCGGAGCTCTCATAGCAGTCGGTATCGGACTTATGAAAACTATGAATATGAACGAAAATTGCGTCGCAGAATTGATTCCAGTTGATTACGCTGTTAACGCTCTTATAGTTACCGCCTGGGCTGTTGCTACGAAACGCGTCCAGGTAATTCCTATCGTCATTTCTTCTCCACTTTATTTTTCATAATCGCCACCTCTCCCCGTCCGTTTCTTTTCTCTTTTTTCTTTTCTCTCTTTTCTTTTCTCTCTTTTCTTCAGAATTCTATCGATATCGGAATTAAAAGCCAAGATTCGATAAAAATGACTCTTTTTTCATTTTCTTTTCTTCTTTCTTTTCCTTTTTTCCCCTAGATGCAGTACAGACGATCCACCATTTATAATTATCACTCTTCTTGGGATACCGACATTACTTCGAGACAATATATGAAACTTGTCATAAAATATGGTAAACAGGTTCCAAGCTTACGTAGCGTTTAGTGCTACACCTTTAACGCTATTAAAAGCCCGTACACGTATTTCATTTTAATGACGCTGATTCACTTATTACCTGCCATACTCGTCCACACTGCACTCCTCCTTACTGGTAAAACGCCAAGGTGATCACCTCTTTTTTTCATTTTTGAGTTTATTCTATCGTTTGCACGAGAAACTAGCAAAAACGGGCAAATTTTCCCGACAGGATACTAAAACTGTATAAAAGATTGCACAAATTTTCCGCCATCACAAGCTATTTTGGTACATGCGATTGCAAGTTTTCCTGCGACAATACTAAATACATTTGGCATTCTCTCTCTCTCTCTCTCCAAAAGATCAGACGTTGTTCACATTTTCAATGAACAAATTCGATTGAGACGACTTCATGTTCAAATGCGTCCGTGGATTAAGAATATACATTTTTAAAGATGATCCAAGCACTATCGTGCAAAATTACGAATGGCCAAGTAACGTAGACCAGGCGTACGCAATATTTGCCATATTTCTTCCATCTTTAACACGATCCGCTTTTCTTTTTTTACATTTACCACGCTTCATACTCTTCTCAAGTATACCACTTTCCTTTTTATCATCTGGTTCTTTTATCGCGCAATACCTACCATGCTAATTGTTATTAATACTATTACCTCTGATTAAATTTTTCTACATTGCCATACTTTCAAGGCGATAATTTCAATATTCATTTTTCCCATTTCACGCACTTACGATCAGTGCAATATCGTATAAGTTATCACACCACCTTTCTCCTTTATATACAAACAGAATCTTTTATGTGATATCAAGAATTTTTAGCTTTCTTATATCTTCCTCCATCTATGGTTACAAAATTTACAAAAAATTTACTAAAGTTTACCAGATTTACATTTTCCTATACATTATATTTCAATCTATATAATAATAAATTTACATTTACTAAAAGTAAAAATAAAACTTTATCATCACCGATAACTAATCTTAGTTATTTTAATTAGAGCACTTGTACTATGCTTTATAACCTTACCTTTACAAATCAAAGCTGAAAACTGACCAATTCCTCCTTGCCCGTACTTTGAATAAACACGAAGAATACAAGTTCTACCAGACCTTGTTATTTCTTTACTTTATATATTTACGCGCGCGCATTTGTGTCTGTCTATCGTTGTGTTCTTTCCACGCAATAGTTGTCAATACTGTAACCATTAAGCAGAACCGATTACCCTCCTTTTTCTATCCGCTCTAGGTAAGTAACAATATTTCGAATCCTATATAACCAAAATAATAACTAACCTACTAATAACCTGAATGATAATTTAATTGAATTAATAATTGATTAAAGTAAACATAAATTGCAACTACACGCGTACGTATTTGTATGAATAACGTTCAACGTATTTTGCCAAAGAAAAATTCTTCTTTCACAAAACATATAGTAAATGTATAAATGTATAAATGTATAATATTCTTGATAATTTATATAATAAATATGTTTTCACATAACCATTAACCAATATTTCATTATCGAAATCTCACTTTTAACTGTATTCAGTACCTGTATTACTTTTCTTGCTTTTCCTTTGTTTTTACACGTATTATATATTTCTAATATGTATATATATATAGCCCAGTTAATACTTTTCATAGAAAATGTGTCTTGCAATTGCCATGTATATATTAACGGCAACATTCCGAGTACTTTTGAAGATAATTATAGCAATCGGTATATTTCTCTTAAATCTTCTTGGAAGAACCATTTACTTTGCATACACACTCTTCCATACGCTGATACGTACGTCAAATGGAACCGAAGTGGCCCGCCTACCCGCTGACAGTCAATTATAACTGAATCATGGTTTAAAGAAGAAACATCAAATCTTTTCATCATTTTCTCGATAAAACTCTGGTATAATAAACAGTGTGAAACCGATTAAAAATGTGAAATCCTTTTTCCAGTCAAGTTCCAGTATAAAATTTTCCGAATAATATTACCGAACAATATTACTGAATAATAATTACATAGGCGATATTATGAAACGATAGTTAGAAATAATGTACGAAAAAGGGAAAAGAATTAATCATAACTACGTTTAAGTTTATTTAAATTTTATTCAAGAAAAATGATATTTATAATAAAAATTAGATATAATTATAAGCAGTCGTGGTTTTTTCTTCAACACCATTACTACTTATCCTTTCTAATTCCTCTCATATTACAATAATACAAATCTTATAAGATACATGAGAATTCTCACTCTTGCAATAATTTGCTATTATTTCTTACAGTTTTGGACGGAATCTCAGAATGAACGGATAAATGATATCGTTTCAACGTACACAGACCGCGCATTGCGCTCAGACCGACACTTTAACACCGTGCATACGTTAAGCTCTCTCATCTCGTTCTCATCTACTTCCTACTTTAATATAATCCATTTATTCGGTTAACCTTCCGTTTCTGTTAACCCATCTTGTTAACATCATGATGATAACCATAAAACTTAACAGATCTTCAACGTTGTTATGTTTAATTCGCAGGTAGTGCCGATACCGCACTATGTGGTGTTGTTGGTCGCGAACCGGCAATAGACTGTGTAGTTGATGCATTCAACGATTGCATCGTACCAATCTAAGGTAAAAATCATTCATCAATGGTGTATGAGAAACAAGAAAGAGAAAAGAAACGAAAATGAATAAAAGATGACTGTAAACGATCGCAACGCAAGCAAACAAAAAGGTGAAAACAAAATGAAAAATGTTCTCTTTAACCATTCGAATAAAGAAACTTACCCTTAGGTGGGCCAGATCTTCCAATCGTGTAAGATCAGATAATTCCACGTATAGGGAATACACAATTAACCATCCATAAATGGAGAAACAAATGAATAACATCCACAAGATACACGTTGTAATATTATAAGCAAATATCATATCGTTTACTATACTAAAGAATATAAAAGCAAACAATCTGAAAACAGTAAAAGTTGCAAAACCATAAAGCCATGGTATCATCTTCCTTTCATATTCTTTTCGTAAAGCAGCTATCAACATCATGGATGTTGCAAACACTGCTATTCCACCAAGCATAGAGAACAAAGCAAACACGACAAGGGCATTACGCACTGTAATAAAACACCAGGTAAATATGTTGTAAATATTAATATATTTTTGTTCTATTATACTTGTAAGTTTACAAGTGCAATTTACTGTGCAATTTTATTATTCCGTAAATGTCCTTACCATGCCGATTGCCCACATAAACAAATTCATATGACATTACGTAATAACCATAGTGAGTTGAACCTGGTGCAGCTTGAGAAAGACAATAAAGATCAAATACTGCGGTACATATAGTGAAAATGGCTAAACACTAAAAAGATGAAAACACTATCAATATAAATATACAGATCTTAAATTACCGTACATCTATATACTTACCAATGAAAATATTGCAGTAAACATAGCGCCTCTTTGAATATCGAGTAGATAAGCATGTGTCAAAATTGGTTTCTGATACCAATGTATTTTCACGCTACGCATTGATCGCGAAGATTTCAAATTTGCGCTGCTACGTGTAGTAACATGAGAATATACCGATGGGGTACCCATGCTAGGTGATTTTTTTCCGTAATTCATTTTATAATTTATATATTTCTTTTCTTCTCTTACAAATCCACCTCAAATTTTACTTACACGATCTATTAATTTTCTAATCGATATTTTTCTTTCTACCTTTTTATGAACACTCTTTATTCACAACGCATTTCTAATGCATTTAGAAATTGTTGTCTTACGCTGTGATGATGACAAGAAAGGTTAGTTTATAAATATTATTTACATCGTTTTCCACCATGACGTTACTTCCTCGTTCTAGTCTTATTACGATATACGTGAATATCCTTCGGTGATATAATTTACGATTACAATTAAAAAAATTTTAATCAGTTAATTCACAAAAGTGAATAAAGTTACACCCATGCCCCTTCCGTCATTTATTACCAGCCGACGCCCGTTGTTTCAAATCAACATAGCCGAAATATGTCGATGAGAGTCGAAGAAATCCGAAGTAAATGTTTCAGTAATTCATAGGCTTAACGTGAATTAGGTAAATATATGTTTATACGCACGGAGCAACACACGCACAAAATTCCACGTGTTTCAACTCTTAAGCTATGGAGTGAACGATTAGTTCGATTTTTAAATAATTAGATTTATCTTTTAAACTGAATCAAATTTTATCGTTTTATTTGATGAAAATTTTATGCAAAAATAAACATAATATAATATAAAATACTTAAATATTATTTATTCAAAAGATACTTTATCGCATTTTCAATAGAATTCAAGCCGACAACGCACACCTGAAACCAAGATTTCCAGCTGTCGTGTCAGGAGTATTTTGACTTCGTGCAGCGCATCTATATCTAAAACAATAGCTCTTATGACAAAGATAGGAACCACCTTTCTTTACTTTGTCTGTACCGCGAGGTGGGCCAGTCTGAAAGTATATTTTTAAATACAAACCATAAAGAAATAACATTGTTTTTAGTACAAGGAGAGATCGGGGAGGTGAAGCGAGGAAAGGTAGACGTAAATAATTCATATATACAGGATTAGTTGGGCCGCCTCGTGTTGTTGCTTCGATCGTCCACCAATCAAACGTCCATTCCCAAACATTTCCTATCATGTTATATAATCCATATTTATTTGGCGGGAATTCTGTAACAGGCGATGTACTTTCATATCCATCCTCTTTGCTATTACTATTTGGGAAGTCACCTTGCCATGTGTTTGCTCTAGAAATTATTTCAATTTATATATATTTTGATTTTATATTTTGAGTTCTATAGCTTTAATTATTTTTTAATTTCGTTTCATTTACCTGTATTGACCATTAGGAATCAATTTATTTCCCCATGGATACAATCTATCCGATAATCCGCCTCGACATGCAACTTCCCATTCGGCTTCGGTTGGTAATCTCTTTCCTAACCATTTGCAATACGCGGTAGCGTCATTCCATGATACATGAACAACAGGATGATCCATCCTATCTATTTTATTATTTGCTTATGTTCGTTGCTGTTTTTAATGAATAATTTCCAACGATTGAAAACAAGAGTATAGAATGAACGTACTTTTTATATCGGAGCTAGGACCTTCTGGACGTCGCCAATTTGCATTTTTTATTTGTACCCACCAAGGAGCTTGAGCAACAAGCGTTACGTTTGTTCCAAATTTTTCTTCTAAAAGACCTCTAAATACAAACGAATCCCCGAATTTTTCAGCTTCTGTTCGATAATTGGTAACGTCAACAAACCTTGCAAAATCACGATTACTCACTTCCATTTTATCTATATAAAAATTATCTAGGAATATTTGTTGCTTTGGTCCTTCGCCATCGGCAATAAAAACTGGATCGTTTGTACCGATTGCAAAGGTGCCCGCCGCTATTTTAACCATATTTTTTAAACGATCTATCCGATTCAGACTCTTTGCAAATACGCGAAGATCATCATTTGCTGAACAAGAATCTCGCGTTTCTTTCTTTTGGTAGCTCTTTATGCTGCTTTGTCTGTCAAAGTTTCGATTACCGCAATGAAGATATTCTTTATTTGAATCATCCATTTCAGAGCTTCCCGCTGTAGAACACAATATAACAACAATTACGCTTACGAAAGTAAGCAACTTCGTTGATTTTTTCAGAGTTGTCTTTATCGAACTTTTCATTTTAACATTAGGAATATACACAAAATCAATAAATTAATTTAAATTGCTTAACAAAAGTTATAAAACTCACAAATACTCATAAAATCAAAATTCGAACAAATATTACGACCAATAACAAAACTCGTCATCTTCCACAGCAGACGGCACTACGTATGCTGTAAAGGAATTAACGTAAGTGGTATAGTAGAGATGTGACAGTTTATTCGCTGTTTGAGGATGCTATAAGAAAGCAAAATATCCCTAGGTAATCTGTAACTTTTATCTCCCTCGCTAATAAGAATAAAAATTAAATAAATTGTGGCGTAAAATGAGCCATAGAATTGAATATTGAGAATTGAATACTGATCACGATCATGGTTAGACTTTGTACACTGAAAAGGATAACGCAAAAAGTAATTGGAATTATATAAACGGGTAACGAGGATGCGAGTAATATTAAGAAGAAAAGTATTCATAAGAATGATAGTAAAATAACGTTAGGACATTATGGTATATATACATTTTACCTCTTCATTTTTTGTAACTAGATAAGTTAAATATCACGAGATATAACAAAAAATTCTATCGTTTTGATTGCTCTTATGATTTCCCTGTTATTTATTTCTATAGCTAGTGATTTAATAGGAAGGTGTGCGAGTTAGTCATCATGTCAACTCCACTTTGTCCATTGCTTGAGGAAAGTGCAATCACCTTCAGGTGGAATTGTTCGAGAGTTGAGCGGTTAGCATAACAGAGTTGAAAAATGCGAATTGTTAAATCGTTATATTTGTAATATTACTGAAGGATAAATATAATGTTATCAGAAGTTGTATAATTTTCTCTAATTGTGCCAGAGATGAAGGAGGGAAAAGAGTAAGTTAGAAATCATAGGAACTTTTAGTTTTCGTTGAATAATCGCGAGTAAAAGTTAAAGTTATTAGAGAGAAATCGATAGTTATTTCATCGATACATTGATTTTTCGATATTGAAATTCGATATGTATATACGGGATTTGCGTGCAACATAACCTATCGTTAAATGCCACGTACTATTTGTCTAAAATCTACGTATGTAGAATCTCCCAAACATCTTATCGTGCATCGTGACATCGGTCTACGAACGAGAAAATAACGATATAGCAAAATTATATATCGAGCATAATATATCGATAAACGTATATAGCTATAATGGCTTACCAGAAACATTTCAAACTCTTGTTTTGCGCGCTCGGAATTTTTGTATGTTATTTTTACTTTGGCATATTGCAAGAGAAGATTACACGAAGACAATATGGAGATGGAAAAGACTGTGAAAAATTTACATACATGTTTTCTTTAGTTTTCATCCAGTGTTTAATTAATTACTTATTTGCTAAGACTAGTTTATTAACGATCATGAAGCAGGGCGAGGACAGTACTCCGAAAATGTACTACGTACTCTGTGCCCTTACCTATTTACTTGCTATGGTATGCAGTAATATGGCGTTACAATTTGTTAGTTATCCAACACAAGTAATTGCAAAATCCGCTAAACCGGTTCCCGTGATGATACTCGGTGTACTGCTGGGAAAGAAGGTATTTCGCATATTTTTCATTTAAGTATTATTTCGTCGATTTTCAATTTCACGTTTACATGAATTTTATTAGAAAAGTCTTGCACGAAAATGATATCTGGTACCTATATCTGTGGAATTATAGTTTTTATGTTTCTATCGAAACTTATAGATTCCATAGTATCAGAAGCTATTTATGTTAATCGAGACGTTAATTATTTATATCGACGTAACATAATTTGTTACGAGCTATGCTAAAGCATATAACGTATAACAATTGAATGCATTGCCTTGCAGGTTTATCCAGTTAGAAAGTACTTGTTTGTCCTCTTAGTAGTGTTTGGTGTAGTTTTATTCATGTACAAAGATGTTACTCCTGCAGTGAAAAAGTATTCCGAGGGACAAACAGCGTTTGGTGAATTTTTGCTGTTACTGTCGTTAATAATGGATGGTTTACTTAGCGCAGTGCAAGAAAGAATGAGAGCCGAGCACAATTCCAAGTCTGGCCATATGATGTTAAATATAAACGGGTGGTCTGCAGTGTATAGCGGCAGTGTGATTCTAGCTTCTAGAGAAATATTCGATTTTATTCAGTTTTTACATAGATACCCTTCTACTATATGGCATATAATTAACTTTTGTATAGCAGGTGCATTTGGACAATACTTTATATTTCTGACTGTTGCCGAATTCGGTCCATTACCATGTTCCCTCATAACTACGACTAGAAAATTGTTTACAGTGTTAGGTTCAATAGTTATTTTTGGTAATAACCTTATATACAGACAGTGGTTGGGTACGTTGTTAGTGTTTTCTGGATTGTTTCTAGATGCTATGTACAGTAAAGACAAGTCACCCAGAAAAGATGTAACAAAGTAGCAAACGAATACAAGTACATTATCCGAGCGATCATGACTTTTAAAATAAGATATAAGCTATATATTATATATTAAATATATAAATAATATAAATATATTATAAAATAAGATATAAGCTGATATCTTGATACGTGCATACGCTATTCGTGTTGTTACAGTGAGAATAGAATTTACAGACATTATGTTAAATATTTTGACTTGTTGATTTCGCACACAGTGTCATCAGCGTGTATGGGTTTCTCCTTACAAATGAAATTTCAAAAGAACATTCTGTAGACTTTAATACTACACATACGCCTCCCCTCCCACACACAAAATGTGTGTGTGTGTGTGTGTGTGTGTGTGTGTGTGTGTGTGTGTGTGTGTGTGTGTGTGTGTGCGCGCGCGCGCGCGCGCGCGTGCATGCATGTATATATGTATGTATGTATGTATGTATGTATGTATGCATGCATGCATGCACGTATGTATGTATGTATGTGTAGACGCATATATATATATACACATACTCGCGCGCGCGTGTGTGTGTAAGTGTGCGTATGCGTGGTGAGATTGTACTTAAGTGTATATTATGCTCATTGGAATATTGTAATACGTATACGACAGTCACGTACAGTATTTTGCGTACGTTTTCTTAAGCTTGCACTCGCATCAATTTCATTCGGTTACCATAAACCTTAATCCCTTTTGCAGATCATATCATACACATATAAAGAGAACTTGTACAAAGTATGTAAAACAATACAAATCGTATGATAATTACACGTGAGTGTAGGCAATACAAAATGATGAATTGGTGTGAAATAAATGAAAAATGCAAGCAATCAATATACGTTCTCATATTTTTATTTTCCTTATTCGCATAATTATCACATTTTCCGACAGTGTCCGAATGAAATATTTTTCGACACATGTAAACGGAGTAACCAAATAGGAAATGTAAAACGAAAGATAAGCTGATGGTACAGAGGAAGTAAATGAACGGATAGTTTAGTGGGAAAACGTTAGCAAACCTGTCGGGTATTCGCGTGTAATGCGATTTTAAAATGATTTGTTTTAAAATCGGATTTCGTTATTGTTATCGACACTGTCGACGACAATGTCAACGATGGTTAAATAGATAATAACGGCGTCTGGATAGCCGTTGGGAAGGGATTGTAATCAGTTGAATGTATCATAAATGCGCAGACCACTTCTCAAAAAGTAGTTTAACGTATTTCAGCAAACAACTCGCATTGAGAAACGATATTTCGTAGATCATAATCCGAAAGGTAGATGCAAAATGACTATACGGTTTTCCAAAAGTCGCGCGTGCATTATCGTACTATCTATATGTTTTACGGTTGCTTACGCGCTCGAGAACGGTAAGTGATATATTCGCTTAATTTAATGCATACATCCACGTGTACACACGCATCACACGTGCGCGCGTGCATATATATCGTATAATTGAAGGAGATATATATTGTTTGCGAATTATAATTGAAAATGGATAATATAATCTGAAAAAGTAGAAATAAAAGAAGAATTTAGGAAAGTATCGTTTGCCACGTGATACACAAGTTGCCGCGCTTAAATCTTTGAATATTCGACCAACGATTATATTCAATAGACGCACGTGTCAGTTTTATTCATTTGCAAATTCTGTTTCAACCTGACACGAAGATGTAAATATTTGACTCGTAGATGCGTTCCCGATCGACTCGTCCAACATTATACAAGCACGTGGAAGAAATTATCCGTTGGTGAAAGAGAGTGTGGTAAAAGAATCGACGAAGAAGAACGTAGAACGATGGTACTTTGGATTTGAAAAAGAGACAGAACCGAAGGAAGAGGAGGAATGTACGAATCGTTCGATATATGATTTTCCTACAGATTTGTTCTCATATCAACAACGTCGGCACGGAGCTGTAGTGTTACATGCCTTTCTTGGACTGTATTGTTTTCTATTAACGGCATTCGTTTGTCACGATTATTTATTACCGGCTGTCGATTGCATATGCGTGAACATGCACATAAGCACAGACGTTGCTGGAGCGACATTTCTAGCAATGGCCAGTTCTTTTCCCGAATTATTCGTGAATATCATTGGAACGTTTCTAACGGAGTCAGATCTTGGTGCCGGGACCGTGGTTGGTAGCGCGGTATTCGACACGTTTGCAACTCCGGCTTGTGGCGCATTGACGACTCTTTACGTAAGTGTGTTGCGTATTCTCGAAATACGTCGCATTCCTATATTTGAGAACAGTTGTTACACGATTACGAAAACGACCACGATAATTGAAAATGAAGTGGTTTGTTATACGGATAACGACGATATTGACATCTGCCGCGCAGCTAACAGACGAAGTATGTTACGAGTATTACGCGTATAACAATATACTCACTCACGCAACATATACACGCGTGAAAATGTCTCGTAGCAAATAAACTTCTTGTCACGGTACAGAGTTTTAGATAAAGGACGATAAGCATCCTCTTTAATTATATTTGGATCGATCGTATCAAAAACCTATCTCTTTTACTTATCTTCCATTGACCTTGTTAACTAATTCTATAATTATTGACATTGTACGATTGTTTCTTTCCCTTATCCGCATCTCTGTCGTTTTAACGTTAATTGGAAAATTGAGAAATGTTTCACGTAACGAACGTTTCACGATTTCTAATTTTTCATTCCTTTCAATGATAGGCAATACCGTTAGAATGGCGAATATTATCACGAGATTGTACAATGTACGTGATATCCGTCGGAACATTGGTAATAATAATGTGGGATGATCGGATTCAATGGTACGAAGCCATGGTTTTGTTAATACTGTTCTGTTCTTATCTAATTTTGCTGTTTTGCGGCAAAATTAAGAAGCTGTGTTGCGGTAAAATCATTTGTTCCGATTCCGACTCTATACCAAGGCGTAAGTAATACCGTGACTCCTATAAGTTATCCTTCTCTTGACTAGTTTCGTTCATTTGCTTATTCGTTCGTTCGTTTGGAAAGAAGATCGCAAGTCGAGTAAAGAACAACTCCTTGTGATTGATCATAGTGTCTAACGTTGGCGATAAGTTGTCCTCTAATGGATCATACAACCTGCGTCAACAGAACAACGCTGTTGCTGTGAATTTTAACGAGAACGCGAATATGGAGAAATTGGAAAGGAAGCCGAACGGAACACGTGATCCTGAAAACGTGGCAAATTCCGAGAAATCAATGGATCGTTTAGTTTTCGGTATGTACATATGCGGTATATGCATATACCGCTACACACGTATCGTAGTTGGTGCGTGCGTATTGCCACGCGAGGAAAATGCGAGGAAAATTTCTATATCGTTTTCTCCTCTTTACAGAATATTTATTTACTTGGCCAAAGGAGCGAAATATTATTGGAAAGTGTTGGTTTATACTTGGTTGGCCATTGAAATTTCTGCTCTTCGTAACGATACCAGACATCAGAGTCGAACGTTTGAAACACTGGTATCCATTGTCATTTATTATGTGCATCATTTGGATCGCGATATCCTCTTATTTGGTATCTTGGATGGTAACGGTCGTGGGTGATACCATAGAAATTCCGGATTCCATTATGGGTCTTACATTTTTAGCCGCTGGTGGGAATATGCCAGAAATGGCGTCCATCGTAGTTTTAGCGAAACAAGGTAACTCGGCTTTTCTCTTGCTTTCCTTATATCTTTTCTTATATCCTTCCTTATATCTGTCCAACAAGTTTAATAAGTTTATTCAACTATTATTCTTATTTTTTTCGTATTTTAACCAACCAAGTTGCAAACTCGAATAACATGGAACATTGAACAAATACTTTGTGCACGTATAGGGGATGGAAACATGGCGATGAGCAATACATTAGGGGCAAATATTCTCGACATTTTACTTTGCTTGGGTTTACCATGGATGATAAAATGTTTAATGACAGGAAGGGACGTGCAGATCGTATCAGGAGCTCTGTCGTACAGTGTACTTTCAACGGTTGTTTGCATAATCGTTCTTTACGCGGTTATAGCATGTTTCAAGTTTAAATTGAATAAGAAAGTAGGAATCATATGCCTGCTATTGTATACGATATTTTTAATATTCGCAATTCTCGTTGAATTGAACATTTTCTTTCCCGTAAATTTACCCATGTGCGATTAACAAATGAGTTATTCTCTGTTGTTAACTCGTTAATCTTAATTTCTTGATAATTCTTTGATGAAAGAAAAAACGATTTGTGGAAAAATTTACATACCGCCCGTTACTTTGTGCTGCCTTTCCATCCTTGTGATACCATCGGTATATAACGATATATGGTATATACCCTATATGACGATGTATGAAACGATGAAAGATAATTACGGTGGGCAGGGACAGGGTTTGAAAGGAGAAAAATGGGAAAAAGAGATAAACTGTATGAACGAATATAAAATTTTATGATCAGCCACCAAAAATGCGATGAGAGAGAAAAAATGAAACGGTCAGGGATGGCAAGCAATTGTGGTGCATATCGACTGTTTTAATAGAGTTATCAATTTCAATCTATAACGAAATGTATATTTTTAATAAAGGATAATTTATTTAACTAGCACTCGAAGCATTTATTGTAACAAAGGAAAATTCTCCCGCACACTGCGATCGTTGCTAAAACAATGCGTTACCGCCTCATATGCATATATATACATATACATACATATATGTATATATTACATTTTTTCACAATATGATACCACACACACACACACGCGCGCGCGCGCACACACACACACACACACACACACACAAAATCGGGGATGTGCCGTACATGTACTTACCGTGCTACCTATGTATCAGCTAATAGACTGATGAGCTAATAATAGACCAGGTATGTAGGTATCGAGAAGCTAAGGACACGAAGGAAGGTGTAATGTAATAATGCATAGGATAACATGTTTCTTTTATTTATAATTCTTTCAAAATAGTCCCCTAAGTATTCGATACATTGCTTAGAACTTGTTCTCGTATAAGTTTTCGAAAGACTTTGAAAATGTTGCCCTAATAGTGTTTAGTTCCCGTGTTATTACATTCTTCCGAACATTGAATTTATTTGTTCAACGAAACACCGTCTTTACCAGTTTTCGATTCCGGTAATGTCGATAAAAGAAAGAAGTCGGTAGAAGATAGATCGAAGAAACAGAGAACGAACTAACCAACATACAACGATTACCTCCCTTTCATCCCTATGGTACTAGGATTTTCGTCAGTACGTTAAGAAAAAACATTTTACTAAATGTACGTGTACGAGTAGAGGAAAATATGCGTATGTGACTAAAAGGATTGTTTTCGTTAAATTTCAGTTTCTTCGTGTAGACACAGACACGCGCGCGCGTATGTCGAGTCGGTAAATTGAATTCGTAGAGACGCAAATAGGTAGATAGCATGCGCACACGTGTAATCGACCTGTACGTATTTTAAAAGATGTCGCGACTCTTGAATTTACTCGCATTTCGTTTCCAAGTGGCTAAAATTATGTAACGCTCATATTTGATTCGGTTTCTTTTAACCGATCGATGCGATTCTACCTCGTTTCCGATACATTATCCATCACCGTTATTTATTATTCTCCGTCTTTCTTTTTTTACCCCGTTTTCTTTCACTTTTATTCCTTCTACTCGACGACCCGTTCAATTATATACGATACATACATCCGATATAATTGAATCAACTTACAGATTTTATCCCTTATACATATATAGTTTCTCTTCCTTTTGTTGATTAGCCATTGAAGCCACTGCACCTTATATTTACGAAACACTGTTTTTGCCAAGATTAATTGCAAAGCGATGTGCAATTGTTTATGCATCCCGTAAATTGCAAATGAAATGTTAAACGTTTAATATCGATTTTAATCTCGATATTTACATTGTTCTACACATTTTACACAACGCATTATATTCATATATTCATGTCCAATTATCCGTGTATGTGCACGCGCGTGTAAAATATGTCTTTAAACTATCTCGAATGAAACGTGAACTACGGATGATAACCTCGATATATATATATACACACGGAGAAATATAAAAGAAATCAGACGTAACGTTAAGGTTAACCAATGAATGATTTCCGTGAAGGATCAACATCCATTGAACATTCTGAATGATTTTCCGAATCGAAATCTCAACATCTTGGAGATTTTTGCATCGATCCTGTTCTTCGATCTCTTCTTTCACCTATTTTTTCCTTTTTTTATTCTCATTCGTTCTTTTCTGGTTTGGAATCGGTAATCGATCATCCTCGATTGCATGGGATTGTTCGCGCGGAACACAGTTGTGAGGCATTTCGTGTATTCCAACACGTTCATTCGCATCATTGTTCGCCATTCGATTTACGACAAAACGCTCGACGTTTTGGCAGTTTAATTTCTTCATATCGACTCGAGTTTCTCGAAAAGTCGTGCATAATCGCGTTCTAGTTTGCCTAATTGCCGCATCATTGAAATAACGGTAAATCGAATATACATACATACATACATATATACGCATATATACATATGTATATATGTGTTCGTCTTTTCTCTTTTTCACGCCTCTGTACACGTTTGTTCATATTATGGAGTTATTATATAACAATATGTTACGTTTCGATAAAAACTTTTGTGGAAAATATAGATCGTAACCTGCATGAAAAATCGCTAAATAATTAGCGTAATCGGCAAAAGCGTAGCCAGCATTACGATAGGTACACGATCATAACGATTTAGTACCGATAGTTGATCGCATAGCTACCGAATCGATTTCACCAACGTGTTTGCTGCGTTATTCGCTGTTACATCCGATAACGTGTTATATCGGAACACACGCCGGGGATGAAAGAGTCGTCAAAACAGCGACGTAATTCGAACATTTGACGATACTTGCGACTCGAAAGTTACGAACATTCGATCGCCGATGATCCATGTTTCGCGTAATTTCATCATCACTGACTTTGTTATAATAAACTGTGATTGTGTATTACAACTTTATTTCATCATCTCGTCTTGTCTTTCTCCCATCTTGCACGCACGCACGCACGCACGCACGCACGCACGCACGCACGCACGCACGCACGCACGCACGCACATAATCACGCATACATACGCGGTACACGCAAACGCGCAAACGCACAGACACACGCACGCACAGGCACACGCATATATATGTGGGTGTATATATCTGAAATTGTTCCTGTCTAACAACAAGAATATTCAATTTTATCCGGCGCGTGAGCGATACAATTTGCAAACGGTCTTATTAGTTCTACGAGGCTTCGCGCTATGTCGCGCCATTAGGACGGTTTGATTCGGTGAACCAAATGCAAGAGAAAAACATTGCTCTAACGTACTTACAAGAGACAGCAGATAGTCGAACGAATCGAACGAAATAAGCGTAGAGCGGAAACGTTCTTGTACCGAACTTTGGCTCCGTGTAATACGCAGTGATACCTACGATATTTTTATTTCTCCTCGTTATTTTCATACTTTTCGATTCCGCATTGCACCATTTCTTCTCTCACTGGATCTCGCATAATTTCTTTGCTTCCATTCGCTTTCCTTCGCTTCCCTTCGCTTCCCTTCGCTTACCTTCGTTTACTTACAATTAGCCGTTCGCGCTTTCATACCTCTATTTATCTACTCGTAAGTATGTACATACTCGTCTATCTACTTACCTTAACTACGCACGTCTACCTACTTACACGTCTACCCGCCTACGCCATTTACTTTACCTATCCTACGTGCACAGCTCCTCGGTAAGATAGTTAACTGGCAAAATGGCTAGTTAGCTAACCCGAGAGAGCTAGCTGACCATCTGTTATAAAGAACGGCATGGCAAGAGTTATGTATGTTAAAAAAGTGACATCGGATAAGAAAGGGCCGAACAGCAATTGCTTCACATGATAGCCAAAGGATCGACGATGCACTTTTCACTTACCACGTCGAAAACCATGTACATACGTATACACGTGTACGATATCGTGTAGACATTTTGACGCGTATCACCGTAGTTGTTCGTGCGATGTATTGAAATGAAAAAATACACGTATACGTTTTTCTTTCCCTCGTAGGAGCGTCGAAACCGTGGAACGATGAAACGGTATAAAGAATTGTTCGAAGCTTAAACGAAATAGCTATACGCCACGATATCATCTTACATAGTCATAATAAAAGCGCTACGATATTCTATCTAATTTCGAATGAACACCTGTGTGCATAGTGAATCACGAATAAAGATTCCATCTGTAGACTCGTAGAACACTCATCGTAATCGCTCGCCTTTCTTCGAAACGAAAAGTTTCTCTACGCGAAACAACAATTTCCAATCTATTTCAATTTCTTTCCCTCGCGCCCCCATTGAATCACGTCTACGTATATACGCGTAATTCCAATAGAAGATGATAAAAAGGATAATCGTACAGCTGTATGGAAGAGTGCAAACTGTGTTTGTGGAATTTATCCGCCAACATTTCTCGGTAATTGCTAAATTATAATTGCTATTCTCGGCAATCGTAACCGTATAATCCGCAACCACAAGCCGCAATCACGACCGCAACCGTGACCGCACCGTGACCGCACCGTGACCGCAACCGTAACCACAACCGCTACCACAACCGCTACCACAACCGCTACCACAACCGCTAATCGCAACTGTAACCATAAAAGTATTGTCATCGATTCATTTACTCGCGATAAACATTTGCGCCGGACACGTTGAGCGTATAAGATACGTAATTCAAATGTCTCTCTTTCTCCTCGTTATTATGCCTCTCGTGTGATATCGCTTGGCACGATTTCGCTTATCTTGGCCGAATTCCATTCTAATCGATTCGATTTTACTCGGCCAAGATCAAATTATGCAGAAAATGTACGTAAATGTATCAACGTGCTTTCATTGTATCTCGCAGAATGGTAGTTTACCGGTTAGCTCTTTGGTCTGCTCTTGATCTTGACTGTTGGCGCCCTCGCTTTTCGGGCTACCTCCATCCTCTAAGGAGCCCCCACCACTTCCGTGGGGGCAAATTGATTGTCATCTGAGTGCCAGCGATGATATTATCGGAGGTCGCGACGGTTTGTTATCAAGAATTCGTTCAATTTCGTTCATTATGTTGGCATTCAATTTTGGAATTAGCTGGAACGATGTGCCGTTTAATCGTCCGTATCGTCCACGGCCAGGCAAATCGAAATTCAATTCGAACTTGAAATTTTAGCAACTCAGAAAAAAAGTTTACCTGTAAACTTTGTAGACTCTCATACAGTTGATCTATGTTTGATGCACCAAGAAGAAGGCACTGAACACTTTCATTCTTTAAAGACCACGCGATTGCCAACTGTCCGAAAGAGCAGCCGAGTCGTTCGGCGAGTGCACAGACGTCTCGTAATTTATCCGAGTATTTTCGTGTTTCGTCATCGGCCGATTTTTCTTTCCAGCCGTATTCCT